AAGATGTTCAATCACCACATGAAGGAAGATGTTCAATCACCACATGAAGAAACATGTTCAATCACCACATGAAGAAAGATGTGGGGATGAAACAAAGGATCACTCATCATTCATAACTAACTATTTCAATTTCAAAATGCAACAATAGGCCTGCATTCATGAATCAGATGACTGACATAAGAACGGAGCCCTATCAGAGCGCTTGATGTATTTTGAATTTATGAACCGTTCTCTAAATCAGCTGGGGGAGGTGCCTAGAAACAGCTGTTTGATCCACATATAAAACTGTTAGTTTTTCTGTAGATATACGAAACAAATATAAGCCTAATACTGACTAACAGCAGGGCAACAATAGGTACAATCAACCTGCTGTGGTTTGGGTAGGTTTTGATCGTCTGTTTATTGAATTAAATCCAAAGTGGAAGAAACGAGAAAACAATTTGTATTTTTGCCATCAGTAGACTTCTTTGCCGGGAGGAGAGCAGGGGCAGCGGAGCCAGGTCTAAAGTTAGTGGGTCTAACAAGGAGTCGGGGCGGACCGGGATCAGACCCCCGGTGCAGTAAAAGCCTCACACTAATTCCCCAGAATAAAGCTTTTAATGTGAAGCAGCAGCAGCACCAGCACCAACTCTTGGATGCTGATGACAGCGAACATAAAAATGAAGGCTGATGTTTGAAAGCATGAATAAGAATCACAGAGTGAAACAGGAGAGGTTCACTTAGAAGTAGTGACAGACTGATATGGGATTCTTAAGGCCGGTATTAACAACAGTATATCGGCTGATTGTAATGTTCAGATAAAAGCAGATAATATAGACAATCATTCTTGGAATGGACCCCTTAGATCAGGGGTCTCAAACTCCCGGCCCGCGGACCGAATCCGGCCCGTCACGTCATTTTATGTGATAATAAAAATATCCCCATAGTCGGAGTTATGAGATAGAAAGTCATAACTATGATAGAAAGTCAAAATTATGAGATAGAAAGTCAAAATTATGAGATTGAAAGTCAAAATTATGAGATAGTTAAACACAGTCATAGAAGCAGCTCTTTGGCTGGTTACTGTACATTTGAAATGTAAATGTATTGTGAGTACATTGAAGACTACTTTAAACGTGGCTTTAAAACACATGAAATACATTGAACAAAGTTATTGTAATAACTTGTGTTTGATATTTGTCTTTGCTATTTTCTTTAATAGTTTGATCTTTGATAGAGTAATGTGGGTTTCCTAACCCTAAATTAAAAGGATTTAAGTTATAATAACAGAAATGTGCTTAAATATATTTTTACATTTATATAACTGCATGTACAATATTTTTACACTTGAATAAACAATAATCAAATGCAGAGACGGTTATTTAACAATATCTTACGAGTAGTTACATTTACAACCGGCCCTTCGTGGGCGACCATGATGCTGATGTGGCCCGGAGTGAAAATGAGTTTGAGACCCCTGCCTTAGATGAATGGCCTCAATCTTTCTGAATCTCAACCTCATGGGCCTGCATACACACTGATACGGATTTATCTGCAATTAGCTACAGTAATATCGGCCAATACAATTTGTATCTATAAAAAACATTTAAAAAAAGACAGAAATGTTTAAAGATCGGTGCAATTAAATCTGACTAAAGCCGGCGTCTGGACGCTCAGCTAATAACAGTGCAGAGGAAAAGAAAAAAGAAAGACTCGATGGTCAAAATGAGTACTTGACTTTAGTACAGTGGCTATATTTCTGCTCCATTCTATTTCATAGGGAAATATTTAGACTTTTCAGAATATAATTTTTCACAAATACACTGTCAGATGTTTTCTTAGCATTTGAATAATTGTTTGAGGCCCAAAAAGGTCCAATGATGCTGATATAATACTTTTTCAGTCACAGGAGACATTTGACTACTTTATTTTACTTTTGATTCTACAGTTGCATTTTGCTGATAATCCTTTAATACTTAGGGTTTAAAATGCAGGGCTTTTACTTGTAATGGATTCACTCAGTCTGGCTCTTAACAAGGGACGGCAGCAACTGGAGTCTAACAGCTGGAGACATTCAACAGAGTCAAACAGTCCACCAACTGTTGGTGGTACTGTAGCAGAGTATTTTCAATTCAATTCAAGTTGAGTCAAATCCCTGTTGTCACATCATAAACGCGTGTGTGTGTGTGTGTGTGAGTGAGTGTACCAGTGTGTGGGGGGTGTCTCTCGGGTAAGATGAGGTTCTGGAAGTTAATGATGCAGACGGCCTCGGCCCCAAGCCAGCGGTCAGACACCACCTTGATGTAGTACTGGGAGGGCAGCGGCTCAAATATGGGGATGGTGAACACTATATGCTGAGGCTCTCCTGTTACCACCTGAAGGGAGGAACACACACACACACGAACACACAGACACACACACACACACACACACACACACACACACACACACACATAAATCTACAGGACACAAGAACACACATCAACCACAATGTCCTCATGTCAACCGAGGTCCAAGAAAGTCAAAAAACAAACTTGTTTCTTCTGCAGGAGGAAGTGCTCGGAATGGTAGATGTGATCATTGATGGGATCCTCCACCCACAACCACCATGGCTCACCCACCGAGCCGTGGACCTGAATAAGTGAGGACAAGAGCACAGAACTCACACTCTTCTGAACAGACAAAAAAACACTAACTCACCAATTTCCCAGGTAATAAAAAATAAAATCAAACAGTCTTGCTAATATATATATATATATATATACGGTATATATATACTGTATATATGCATACATTCCATTGTCAACCTCATTCTATAAATTATTGCTGAGGCTGTAGATAAATGCTGATCCAACTCTATGGTTATTTAAACTTGTTTTTTCGATATATGCACCACAACAAACAATCTGAAGTGATACAGGTTTAAAGGTAGCGCCTGCATTCTTCCTGATCCTGAAGCGAGTGTCAAACTATCTTAGTTGATATTATGCTATAGACAAACTAACAGACAGTAAACCTGGGGCAGGGTAATATTCCAAGTTAGGAATACTGATTGGTTTCTGAGTGTATATGTGTGAATGACAGAATATAATTTAAAGGGAATAACAGTGAATATTTGGATATATGGGGACATGAAAAACATCATATTTTACAAACAATTTTAGCACTGAGCATTGTGTTTTCAATAGAAAATAAAAAATTCTAAAAAATAAAGAATCAAGAAAAAAAAAAGAAAAGCTGCTAGTTAAATGTTAAAGAATAAATATCTGGTATTAATCTAAATGAGGAACCATAAACAATCCTCACAGGGCTCTGAGAGTATTTATCATAATGTGTCAGTGTGGTATGCGGCCTGGGTGCCATCGGGGAGGCGGCTCATGTGTCGGTACATGTGTCCCGGCTCTGCAGCCGGATCAGAGCTAAGCAGGCCGGTCTATCATTACCACTCTCCCATGATTGAAGCATGCATCGCTAATCGGACATAAACATTCATCTCCATATTCAGCCCCGCTACAATGAGCTTCCTATTCCGCTCAGACTACATGACAAACTCTGGAATAAGCTTCCCAAGATCCTTTCTGGCCTGCCTGCCCACTGAGGTGGGACATGCTGGCGAGGGCGGAGGCATTCTGGCTCTCAGGGACAGATGGAGATTCCATGGCTGTAAGAATAAGGTAGGGGGAGCAGATCTTCTTTTCTCCATTGTGAACATGTGACCATGACTACACTGGCTGTGTCACTGAGCAGTTTTGGTGCTCAAGAGACAGGAGGAGACAAATGCTGAAGTCCAGCCCTCCCCGGACCTTCTGAAATCTGAAACGTAGCTCTTTGCTCTTATTTCCTAACCCTGAATATCAAAACATCATTATATCCTTACTTATATATGCTGTGTTCTTCTTGCCTCTTGACAATGGTACCTTGCAGATTCTACTTGTCAGACTTCCCACAGTTTACTGAGCTGTGAATATGACAATAAATGACTGAAGCTCATTCTAATACTGTGCTCTATATTTATGCACGATCACACAATACAGCGCTTTTAGAATCTCTACTCAGCACCTCAAATGTCGTCTGATGCCAAACTCAGTGATCATCAATGTAGTTGCTGCTACTTGACTATATTGAAGACCTCTTGACCTCATGTGAGCCTACGTGTGACGGGATGCCTTCGTTCTAAACCTTTTTTCTATCTTGCACAAAAGGTATGAAGACTTGTACTGTGGGGGGGGGTTCTCCTGAATCACACAACATAGTGGTATCACCAGGCTAAGCACATAGTTTGGGTTCAGTCTGTTCAGGTTTTGAGATATCTGTCTCTGAGATTCCTACCTACCATACAGTGGACGAGAAAGGAATCTTATTACATAAATAAAAATCATATTCAACATTAACGTGTCTTTGCAGAGGCAACGTCCCAGATAGCCTGGATAATCCACAGACCTCTAACACAGTATCATGTTTTACTTGATCATTTATTATCCTGTATTTAAGCTGCTACACTGCTTCATGTGTCTGAATCTTTGTTAACAACAAATGAAGAACATCTTGAAGGCTATGACATGTACTTTCAATTAAATAAAATCAAATGAAATATAACGAGAAGCAGAATACAGCAGTATGTATGTCGTCCATGTTTACCTGATCATTCCAGCGGAAGTCAGGCGTGACGATGAGACGAACCCGTAGGACAGTGCGTGTGATTGGCTGAATGTTAGCCTCCATTGTGATTGAGGGGATCTGGTGGACACACTGTTTGACTGTTAGGCCGATGTTGACATGGTGCAGCATATGACCTGGGAACAACACACCTGGTATTAACATCTGTTTTGTATCATAATTCATCTAACGTGGTTCATACAGATTACAGTCAATTCTCAAATAAATCAAATTTTCAAATAACCTTGGCAGCTAAATTCAGCATTATATACATTTATACAGCATTAATTCCATCCAGCAACAACAGAGAAGTGTCACTACTCTGCTGTTTCTCTTTACAAAAAATGTTTTTGTTCACTGAAACATTTCAATCATTTAGCTGTTTGTTTTATCTCTTTTGAGCTACTGTCAATAAAAATCATCCTAAACCACTGAAAGGCTTTTAATTTGAAACATCTGTTAGAGACATGTTGGGTCCATTGTCATATTACACCTGATACTTGGGTGCTTTGTGCCAGTGTAGTTTACAATAATTTATACAGTCTGAATATCAGTTGTTTTTACCAATCTCATCCTTCCTCATTTCCTTCAGTTTGTCCACAGTGAGCTTCTTCTCCTCCAAGCGGTTCAGTACAACATGGCTTAGGTTGTGGAACTGGCGGAGAGGGTGGGCAAAGCCCCACAGCCGCTTATCTATCATCTTACAGAGGGTGAGCAGTCGGTAGGTCATGGCCGGCCACCGCTTTCTCAGGGCAATCTCAAACAAAGCCCTGACGATTCGAGCAGCATTCTGTGAGACGTGAAAACAGCAGGAGGAGAAAAAACGAAATCAACATCAATCCCAGAAGTATATGTATTACTGCTGCAATTATAGACAGTAATAGTTTAACAGTACACTTTAAAGCTGGAGGGAAACACATTGGTAGTGGAGCAGAAGTCACTGGAAGCAGCTGTAGGAAACATCATGCTGTATACTGGTGATTAATCATGTGTGATCAGGAGGAGGTCTGGCTGGGCTCAGAAGTCCAGCTTGGCCACAGCTGTGCACTGATAGATTGCTAATGTCAGTTCTGGAGGAGAGGTCAGGTATCAGTGTTGCTTGCTGATACACTGCTCAAGTGTGGTCAGGCTGTAATTGATTTGGTCAGGTGTTATTGTGATCTGATTGTCTGGTATAGTCTGAATGCACTCTAGAGGGGGATTATTGAAATCGAACTGTGCTCTGTTTGATAGCTTTGATAGGTGAGACCAAGAGGTCTGGCTGGACACAGAAAGGCCTGAAGTCTGGGGAGAACAGATGCACCGAACAAGGATCCTGTTCATACTCTTCTGCTCCACATTAAAGTACTGTCTTCCACTGCACAAACTACTACCAGTGTACTACAAACACTTCAATCGAGTTCCAGCCGCTTCAACCCCACTACCATTTCCTCTAATTTCGGAAATAAACCAGTAGAGCTTGTCCTTCATGATCTCATCATTAACATTATAGGAACCTGCTCAATTTTTGCTATGTAAAGTTTATCTTATGCAACCTCAGAATCCCACAAAAAGATATTTGGGTGTTGACCAGTTATGTTTCAGCCCTGATCTGGCACGGAATTTTTGAAGAGGTGCACATAACATACGTGGGCAAGTATATGAAGAATAACGCGTGTCCCAGCTGCTTGTCTATGGGTATTGTGATGTTTGTTCACCCATTGGGTCAACAAATACCAGGAGATGAAGTCTGAGCAAGGGAAAACGACCCTGTAGGAACAGGTGCTAGCTGGGGATCATAATAAGTAATCAGTGCCTCACCCGCCACATGATACAACCATGGGGAGAACCAGCTGTAGCTCATCTCCAGTCAGCCCAGCACAGGCTGGAAAGCTCCACTCCAGCCACAGTCAGAGGAAAGGCACAAGGACTGCGCTGCTGTAGGCCTCTCTCTCAGTTCAGTGGATGACAAGAACCAAAAAGGAGAAAAGCTTGACATTTCCTGTTGGTTGTCACTCACAGTGTGTGTCTTGTGTGTCACTCCTTGGAAGAAGAAGCCGACTAGGACACAGAGACTGAAATACCCCGGACCGAGAAGGATTTCTGTTTTTTGCTCCATTCCCCTTTTCAAAATGAAAGGACACTTTTGGTTGGAACTGAGATTGACTTGTATTAGTCCTTATTCTCCAAGCTTGGTCAAGCCTCCTGGTGGCAGAATTGCAACATATGGTGGAGAATACTGGCATTCTGATTACTACGCTACGACCAGGGAAATTTGGTTCTGATCACCATGGAAGAGGCTATAGCGGCACTTTCAAAAAGTCAAGCAGTCTTACAAGCAGCCATTGTCAGCCTAGCCCAGCGCCCTAGGAAAACCTGGAGCCCTAGGAATGTACTTAAAAAACTGACTTTGAACGTTGACGTGGAAGCATACCTTGAGGTGTTTGAGTGGAAGGTGAAGAATGTCAAGTGGCTGGCAGAACATTGGTGGGGCCTCCTCCTTCTTGGCCAGGCCCAGCGATCATGCCAGGACTTGTAGCAGAGGCGGCGAACTACAGGAGCCTAAGATGAGCCATCCTCACCCAGTATTGATACAGCCTTTCCGGTGATGAACCGATGTATCCATGCCCTGCCCACTAACACCAAAAGGCGGAGGTGCCCGGAGAAAGAATTTCCCATGCCAACCACACCATCAAGCTAGGCAACCCATATCTATTTGTCACCTCCTGCTGGAAACATGAAAAGTTGAGGCATTACAGCTTGATTTGCTACTGCCCAAAGAGAGGACCCAAACCTTGCCCAGGCCCTTCGAATTGTACAAGACATAGAGGGAACCATACAGACAACCAACCATCACTTTGCTATATAAAAAGGTTTTATATACAGAGTAGTAGTAAGATGGGAAAGGCAGGGGTAAGCCAATGGCTTGTCCCTAGCCAGTATACCTCCAAGGTCCTGTTCCTGGCCCACCTCAGACTAGAGAAAACCATGGACAGGGTTGTGAAAATATTCTACAGGCCTGACATAAGGGGAGCCATCCAAAAGTGTTGTTGCACGTGCAAGGACTGCCAGCTGACTGTCCCCAAGGTACCGTCCGTTATCTTAACTCCCTTCCAACTACTTGCCATGAACATAGTTGTGCCCCTTCCAAGAAACGGTGGATATTGATTCATCCTGGTCAGTACGGACTATTCCACTCATTACTCTGGGCCAACTGTGGCTCAGAGGTAGAGCAGGATTGTCCATGTCAATGTGTCTTGGACAAAACACTTAACCCCAAATGAATGTGTATGAATGGTTAGTTAGAGTCCTGATGGGCAGGTGACACCTTGCATTGTAGCCCCTGCCATCAGCGTATGAATTGGTGTGAATGAGTGAACATGTAGTGTAGTGTCCAGCAACGTCAGGACCTCTAGGAGTTGGTTTCTTAGTATTCTGACATATTCTCGCATCAACCGAGGTAGACATGACGGACCCTGGAAGATACTTCGACAGAGGCCTTACCAGATCCCGAGAGCGGAATCATTGAGGTGTCTCAAAGTGCTCGGTCAGGCACCACTGTCCTTGTACCCCCCAATTTCTGCAATGACTTTTGCAAGTTGAACGAGATTTCCCGGTTTAACGCTTATTACGTGCCATGAGTGGATGAACTCAAAGAGAAGCTGGGTCCGACAAGGTTCATCAGTACCCTGGATCTCACAAAAGGATTCTGGTAAGTACCCCTGACAGAGCAGGCATTGAAGAAAATGGCTTTTTCCACACCTGAAGGATTAAACCAGTAGTCCTCGTGTTTAGGGTCCATGGCGCGCCAGCGACATTCCAGCTGGATTCTTCAACCCCATCGGGTCTTTGCGGCTGCTCAGTTGGATGATATTATTATTCACAAGCCTGATTGGTCCTCCCACATAGCCCTTTTACGAGGGGTCCTGGAAGCGCTGAGCACAGAGAGCCTGGTGGCTAGAAATGCACCGGGACCACTACCAGGAGTGTCAGGTAAAATCCATCATTTATGGCCAGCTATATTGTATGCGTAAAACAGGCAGTCCCCATAAGTTTTCACTGCATTAATTAGTTTAGCTCTGAAGTTGTCAGCTGTGTGTATGCTTGGCGTAATCTGTCAAGGGTCCACCAGTGTAATGCAGTGTATGGAGCCCGTCCTTGTAACCCTTGATTTTGGTAGGCACTTCATCCTCCAGAGGAATGCTTCTGAATCCGGTCCTGGTGCATTCCTATCCCAGGTCAATGGATAGGAGCACCCGATCACCTATACTATACTAGCTACTAAAACATGGAAAGAACTTGCCTTGCAATAAAATGGGCCATCGGAAAACTTAATATTTCCTGCTGGGACGAAGGTTCACCTTCATCACAGACCATGCAAGAGGTGCATGGTGTATGTCAGTGACCAAGTAAAACAATGCACAGGTCACTCGTTGGTCTCTGAGTTGCAGATGATTAACTTCAAGGTAGTCCATAGAGCCAGGAAACTCCATGGGAATGCAGACACCCTAACACGGAGGGATGGGTTCCTCTGGGACATAAACCTGTTACCTAGTTCTATTACAAAAAACAACATCCAATGCAGCATCAACATGGACAAGACACTTAAACCAGTAACTGCACTAATTGTACAGAATGAACCATGACGGATTTAGTAACTGATATATTGATTTGTCTTGTGGTGTGTGTGGATGTGTAGCTCCTTTGTCCTCACCTGTGCCACATACGACAGGTCTGAGATGAGTGAGAAGCTGTCCACCTCTCCTCGGCTGATGTACGTCTGAAGCAAAACATTGATCTTGCCATAGCCATTCTCCACCCCACCTGCAGCCGGCAGCTCACAGTAGTTACACAGCAACTGTTCCAGCTCCTCCATCTCTTCATCACGGACCTTCCATCACACATGCAAAACATGATGTACAATTCATATTACAATTACATCTTTAATGGATAAGTACATTTCAACTACATTCTGTTGTAGGACCTTAAATGTAGACTTCAGAAATAATCAGTTGGCTTGGTAGATGACTACAGGTTTAAAATTATTTTGGAAGATAACTTTGACAGCTGCTGTTGTAGCATATACATGATGTCCTCTCACCTTAAGCTGGTCAAACTCTTCAGCCTTGGAGACAATACTGAGGATGTCAGCTTCTGTCTGCTGAGAGTTGAAAAGTTCATTGAAAGTCTTCAAAGGAGGAGGGAAAGGGAATATAAGGGGTTAATGGAGTTTCGATCAGAACAAGTCATTATATCGGAGTGATGAACACCTACCCGATGAACACAAAAAAATCTTTCGTTTGCAAGGTGACAATACAATAAGATTAAATTAGATGATTAGAAAATTTTATTAATCCCCAGTGGGGAAACTTATTTGCCACCAAAACTTATACAGACAACAATAGACTCATACAGACAACAATAGACACAGTCCACAGTGCACAACAGACAAAAACACATTATAAAGAATAAATAATATTAGAAAATGCCATATACAATATGATTGACATCAGTCAGTTGCTAAATCTAAAAACAACATCTAAAGGTGCTCATTAAAAAATCTAACTGCTGCTGGAACGAAAGACCTTCTGAGTCGTTCAGTCGAACACTGAGGCATCCTGAGTCTCTCACTAAATGAGCTTCTGAGTCCATTAACAACACTGTGTAGTGGATGGCCTTCAAAAGAAACAATCGTTTTTAACTTGTCCTTGTTTGCTTTTCTAAAGTGACCTCTAGTGAGTCCGGAGTAAGGCTGATCACTGAGCCAGCCTTCCTGATCATCTTATTGATCCTGTTTTTATCATCCGCAACGATGCCGCCCCCCCAGCGGAGCACAGCATAGAAGAGGACACTAGCTAAGATCCCCTGGTAAAAAACACAAAGAAGCTTTCTGCTGATATCAAAGGATCTGAGCTTCCTCAAGAAGAAGAGTTTTGACGGAGCCTTTTTAAATACAGCATCAGTGTTCTTTTTCCAGTTTAATTTACTGTCCGGATAGACCCCAAGTTATTTATATGACTGGACAATTTCTATATGCTGACCCGCAATTATCACTGGGGAGATCTCCTCCTCCTTCCTTCTGCAATCAATAACCAACTCTTTGGTCTTTCCAACATTTAGTTTAAAATTTAAATGTCATCACACCAGACATAAAACATATGTTTGCTGAGGGATCGAGCAAATATCGTTCTTTGATTGAAAGGAACAGGACACACAAAATTGGGAATTTGTAACCAAACACAATTTCCATGATTGCTTTAGTTGTTTGTTTACTTTAATTGTATCATCTCTATTTCTTGGGTCGGACCCTGGGTTCAGTTGGACAGCATTAGTATAGTACCTCTATGGTGTTGTATCTGATAAAGAAGTTAGTCTACCTCTAGTTAGTCTACCTCTATGGTGATGTATCTGATGTAAAAGTTAGTCTACCTCTAGTTAGTCTACATCTATGGTGATGTATCTGATGTAGGAGTTAGTCTTCCTCTATGGTGATGTATCTGATGTCGGAGTTAGTCTACCTCTATGGTGTTGTAGCTGATGTAAAAGTTAGTCTTCCTCTATGGTGATGTATCTGATGTAAAAGTTAGTCTATCTCTATGGTGTTGTAGCTGATGTAAAAGTTAGTCTACCTCTAGTTAGTCTACCTCTAGTTAGTCTACATCTATGGTGATGTATCTGAAGTAAATGTTAGTCTACCTCTAGTTAGTCTACCTCTATGGTGATGTATCTAATGTAAAAGTTAGTCTACATTTATGGTGATGTATCTGATGTAGAAGTTAGTCTACATCTATGGTGATGTATCTGATGTAAAAGTTAGTCTACCTCTATGGTGTTGTATCTGATGTAAAAGTTAGTCTACCTCTATGGTGATGTATCTGATGTAAACGTTAGTCTACCTCTATGGTGATGTATCTGATGTAAACGTTAGTCTACCTCTAGTTAGTCTACTTCTATGGTGATGTGTCTGATGTAGAAGTTAGTCTACCTCGATGGTGTTGTATCTGATGTAGAAGTTAGTCTACCTCGATGGTGTTGTATCTGATGTAAAAGTTAGTCTATCTCCAGTTAGCCTACATCTTTGGTGATGTATCTAATGTAGAAGTTAGTCTACCTCTATGGTGTATCTGATGTAAAGGTTAGTCTACCTCTAGTTAGTCTACATCTATGGTGATGTATCTGATGTAGAAGTTAGTCTACCTCAAGTTAGTCTACATCTATGGTGTTGTATCTGATGTAAAAGGTAGTCTACCTCAAGTTAGTCTACATCTATGGTGATGTATCTGATGTAAAAGTTAGTCTACCTCTATGGTGATGTATCTGATGTAAAAGTTAGTCTACCTCTATGGTGTTGTATCTGATGTAAAAGTTAGTCTACCTCTATGGTGTTGTATCTGATGTAGAAGTTAGTCTACCTCTATGGTGTTGTATCTGATGTAAAAGTTAGTCTACATCTATGGTGATGTATCTGATGTAGAAGTTAGTCTACCTCTATGGTGTTGTATCTGGTGTAAAAGGTAGTCTACCTCAAGTTAGTCTACATCTATGGTGATGTATCTGATGTAAAAGTTAGTCTACCTCTAGTTAGTCTACATCTATGGTGATGTATCTGATGTAAACTATAGTCTACCTCTAGTTAGTCTGCCTCTAGTTAGTCTACATCTACGGTGATGTATCTGATGTAGAAGTTAGTCTACATCTATGGTGATGTATCTGATGTAAACTATAGTCTACCTCTAGTTAGTCTGCCTCTAGTTAGTCTACATCTACGGTGATGTATCTGATGTAGAAGTTAGTCTACCTCTATGGTGATGTATCTGATGTAAAAGTTAGTCTACCTCTCTGGTGCTGTGTCTGATGTAGAAGTTAGTCTACCTCTATGGTGTTGTATCTGATGTAAGTTAGTCTACCTCTATGGTGATGTATCTGATGTAAAAGTTAGTCTACCTCTATGGTGTTGTGTCTGATGTAAGTTAGTCTACCTCTATGGTGTTGTATCTGATGTAAAAGTTAGTCTACCTCTAGTTAGTGTACCTCTATGGTGATGTATCTGATGTAGAAGTTAGTCTACCTCGATGGTGTTGTATCTGATGTAAAAGTTAGTCTACCTCTAGTTAGTCTATCTCTATGGTGATGTATCTGATGTAGAAGTTAGTCTACCTCTATGGTGTTGTATCTGATGTAGAAGTTAGTCTACCTCTATGGTGTTTTGTCTGATGTAGAAGGTAGTCTACCTCTATGGTGTTGTATCTGATGTAGAAGTGGCTGGCGGTCCTGCCCATGTCAGTCGAGGCATAGTAGCCGGTGCGCTCTTCGAAGCGGATCATCCTGGCCTTATCCAGCTTCCTACCTGACTCCACCACAAGCTCCTTCCTGTACAGCTCCAAGGAAGGATCCATCTAAAAAAAACAAATTTAAATTACACCAATTACATTGTAGCATATGGGATAGAGACATTTACACAAGCGGTCAATCAGTCACAATCAAGTTCAGAATGATGTTGTATTAAAAATATATTTTCATAATTAAACAATTTTTACTACATCTTATTATTTTTATTGATTATAGTCAAAAAAACCTGAGCAGACCCTTGGTGTGCTATGATCTTGGAAAGACAGACGGACAGGCGGCATAGAATAGGTTACACTCTGAATCACCAACCTGATAAGCCTTGTGGTTGATGCCGTAAGCCAGTGGGTTGGCCCTCATGCGAACATAGAGGTAAGTATAACTGAGCCACTTCACTGCCTCCTCCACGTTGGTGACAGTCCCCAGAGCAATCTGAATCCAGAAGAGAAAAGAGAGAAGACACCTCACACACAGCCACTAACATCAGTGGTCTCTGGCACCATCTAATGGACACACCAGGACACAAACAGCCCAGTTTTGTTTCCATCTGCTTTTTCAAACAACAATGTCAGACTACAACTACAACATGCTTTGGACCGCAATGCAGTTAAGACTCTCTCAGCTCAAACAGGCAATAAACTAAACCAAAAAGAAACAGATGTGTCTTGGTTGAAATTAATTTGTGTACTTTATAACCCTACTTCCTTTAGGAAGAGGATCAGTTACATGCAAATTACATCATTAGAGCCTGAGCACCGACGTAGTCGGAGCGGAGGACCTATTGTTCTTCGAATGTTTATTATTAGGGCCCGATCACCGACGTAGTCGGAGCAGAGGACCTATTGTTCTTCTAATGTTTATTATTATTATCGTGCGTCTTTCTTTGCGAAAAGGAGGTGCTTGGGATACTGGAGTCGGGGCGAAAATTGCAGACAGATTGGCTCGATAGCGCCGCCTATTGAGTTGCCCCAACATTGGGTTTCACCTAGCTGTATGAAATTTGGTATGTATGTGTAACGTGATGGGACGTACAAAAAATCCACTTGGAGTTATTCACTAAACCAAACAGGAAGTCGGCCATTTTGAATTCTATGACGTCTTTGGACCGTTTCAAGGCGCCATACTTTAACGAACTCCTCCTAGAGATTTAACCCGATTGACTTCAGATTTGGTCAGTATGCTCTTGAGACCTTGGCAGTGAAAAGTTACTCAAAGATCAAAAAGTTATCGAACTATGTATCCGTGGGGTGGCGTCAAAAAACACCATTCGCCATGAAACAGGAAGTTGTTGTAACTCGGCCGTACATTGTCTAATCTGCTCCAAATTTCTCATATGTCATAACATCCTGACCCGGAACACATCTATATGACAATTTAGAATCATAGTAATAGCGCCACCTAGTGGCAACAGGAAGTTATAGGTTGTTTACTTTGACATCCTGCTCCTCACAGATTAATCAGATCCCTCTCAAATGTTGTCAGAACAGCCTTAAGACCTTGATAATACTTCATTGTGAAGATTGTAAGAATTCGTTAAAGGGCAGCGACGTGGCGGCTCGGCGAATTTCGATCCTTCACCATGAAGAAATAAACTGATGTAACTCGACTCCACATCATCAGATCTTTACCAGATTTCACATGTTTGATGAGACTCCAGTCCTGAAGACCTCTGCAGGCCAATTATGTATAATAGTCATAGCGCCACCTACTGGTAACAGTCAGTTAAAGTCTTTATAATTTGGCTTGTTTCTCTTAGTAGGTAAATCAGATCAACATCAAATTAGTTCCACACAAATGTAAGAAGTTCATAATGCCAGTTCATGAAGCTTTTGATGTTTCGTGGAACGCCGTTGCTATGGTGACACAGTCTTTGCCATGAAAAACGAAGGTGCTTTTGAGAGGCTAGAAATGATCGAAACATAAGCAAACTTGGCACACAGTTTTAAAGCCCATAATGTAGTTATATAATATGATTTTATTGGTTCAGAGTGGCAAATCGGCTCAATAGCGCCCCCTACAAAATTTCGACGAAGCAGCCCTCGCAGTACGTTTCACATAGATTTACAAAATTTGGTAGGGACATGTATCACACGTGGAATTAAAAAAAAGTCTCATGGGTCTATGCGCTAAACCCAACCGGAAGTCAGCCATTTTGAATTTTGTATGAATTTCTAGTGTCTTTTTTAGAATTTCCAGGCGCTGTGTATGATGGTCACAGAAATGCATGGCCGCGTCAACCAGAGTCCTACCAGTACACTCGACATGCGTGAAGTTGCGAGGGCCCGATCAATGCTGCTCGCAGCTTTAATTGTTTGTTATTATAACAGAATAAGGATCTTTTTGATTTTTCACTAATGTACTGACATATCTGCAGATGTGCTTTGTGGTGAAGCCTTCATCACAGAATAGGTGACATAATTCATAGGACACAACATGTAATCAACAATTTGCATAACTATGGCGCCTATTTTTCTACTTTCCTTTTCTTCTATTTTCTTGTCTTTTTTGTTTCCATTTTCACCCATAAATTTTGTTCTTACTTTGTATTTTCTGGCGTATATTGTTATCTTGCTGATTACTGATTTGCAGGGTATGCTCTGTAAAGTCAACTTAATGATGTCATATGTGATCTGATAAAGGCTTGATACTGAAATGATTTCCGTTCATTTGTACTAAATTGAACCACCAAAAAAGAACACGATATGAGGTGTCTCCTCCTTTATTTTTGCCAGAGGAGGGTCACTTTCTAACCGTAATTTGTTTTGGGGAAAAAAACTTGTTGATATATCACATGGAAAGATGTTGAAAAAGAGCACATTATAGCAGGGGTTTAATAAGCTGAATGCAAAGATTCCACACTAGATTACTTATTTAACAGTAATAAATTAAAAAAAACATGTAAATGCAGACAGGTAATTAAGAATCCTATTACAGAGGCTAATATGTTATTAGTTTTTCCTCAAAAGGATAAATATTTTGGTTAAATTTTTGTTCCTTCCTGCTGCAGCAAAACTTGAGCTTCCCATGCATTTCCACACCCTTCCTCTCCACAACTGCCTTTATTTTTTCAGAGAGGAAAGAAAGCAATTTTGCATCTAGATTGGCAGAATAAAGAAAACATCACTTCTAGTCCTGTCTAAACAGGGCTGATGGAGACTGACCTCAGCGTTGAGGTTGTCAGCCAGGCTGTCCAGGAACTGACTCTCGATGGGGTTCTGCTGGGTGAGCAGGGTCAAGTAGTGGCTCAACTTCTCGTGGGTGGTGATGATGGTGCCCTCACCGTACTTGTCAAACTGGGGGCGACCCGCGCGCCCGAAAATCTGCATGACGTCCAGGATGCCCAGATCCACCAGGGCACCGCGCTTGGCATCGTAGATCTGAGTGCCCTGTTACTCACACAAGAGACAGAAGTTATTTAGATTTGATGCCGATACAGTTTCAGCAGATTCAGATAACAGTTTAACAACAATGAGCATTTCAATATTATTATGATTTTTTTGTAAATAGATTGTAAATTCTTCTACATTTATAGTTAAAGTATTTAAAGTATTCTGTAGTGTTACTTTTATTAATTCAAGTCATTTTGGGAATGACTTGAATGACGCTCTCTTTTACTATTTTTCTGTCACCATGTACAGAACCACATCAACAATGAATTGATTCTACTAAAAAGTATTATGTGTGTATCAAAGCCTGATGTCTCTTCTTCCTCTGTATCATGAAGCTCCATTAAAAACACATCAATGAGCCTCACTGCTGACATCTTCCTTCATTATCATCAACACACACACATTGTAGTGTATTTTTGTTCACTCCCACAGACACTATTCTGCTTCCACAAATACTAGTTTTTCCTGTTTGAGAAACGCTTGTTAAAGTCGACTGTTTAATAAAAATACAGAGCCGGATATTTATGTTTTTAAAGATTTATGTCTTCAGTAGAAAGAAATGGAGTTTGTGTGTGTAAAAAAGAAACACTTTAAAGCCCTCAACTATTAAATGAATACTTTGCTTCAGTGCTGTTTGTTAGCAAACAACTTTGAAATAAATTAAATTACTAGGAAGTAATTGGAGCCGTTGGAGTCCCTGAAGGTCTGAGACCTCAGGGCAGCTGCTTACTTTGCCTCGCTGGTTCCAGGTTTGTTTACAGGAATTACGAGCAAGAACGGAAGACAGCAAGAAACAAACCAAGACAACTGACATGCATGAAAGAAAGCAAAACAGAGAAAATAGAACCTTGATGATGACTGCATGGGCCGGTAGGTTCACTCCCCAGGCCAGGGTGGCAGTACAGACCAGCACCTTGAGGTGGCCCTTGGAGAACATGCTCTCCATCAGGCTGCGGTCAGACCGCAGCATGCCAGCATGATGGATCCCAAAGCCTTCTGGGAACATCTCCTTCATCTGCTTGTTTCTGGAGCGCTGGATCTGAAAGAGGTGGTTTGAGAGGTTAGTTTAAAAAGAGGAAAGAAAAGGGCTCAGGGGAATGTGACGCAAAGCAACTAGCACTGGGGTTTTGGATGTCTGAGGTGGAAAATTAGCAGAGTTTCAATATCCTGTTGGACTGCACAGAAACAAGAGGACTCCTGGGTATTACGGTTCATTTTAATAAAATGCACAGGTGTTGACTTGCTGTGATTTCAAAGAATACACACAAACACACTCACACACACACACACAGAGTCAGTCAGTCAGATTGAGCTGTGTGCTGCTGACTGACAGTCGGGCTGTGACCTGGTCGGGCTGAGGGGAGTCCTCATCACAGGACTTTATCTCTCTCTCTCTGGGCATCTAAATAGAGGTCAGCGCCCTGTGCTCCTCTGAACTGCAAAGAGAAAGCCCATTACTGCCAGCAGCTGTCTGCCTCACACAGTGTTTGGGTTGCAATGCCGGTCTGGATTTGTATGCAAACCTTGTGGATAAAGGTGGAGGAGGGGGAGACTTTAAGTAACCGACTGAGCAGCAGGTATATTGACTGAAAATGATGTAAAATGCTACAGAAGTAAATATTTTGTTCCATATTATGAAAACAATGTGAAAAAAAAAAATAGCTTAGTATTAGCCTTTTTATGAAATTATTTCTACGGGACAAGTTGCTGTTCACTTCAGTGTACGGTAATGTTAACCTTCATTTTCAATTTTATGTTGCAATTACTCGTAGCTAATTAATTACTTTACTGTGTGCATGAGATATTATACAGTCAGGGCCATAAGTATTTGGACTGTGACACAATTTTTCTAATTTTGCCTCTTTACAGACTCCAGTGGGTTTGAAAGTAATCAGTCAACATGTGGTTGAAGTGTAGACTTTCAGCTTTAATTCAATGGATAAAACAAAAAAAATCACATTAAGCGTTTAGGAATTACAGCCACTTCTACACAGCCCCCTACATTTTCAGAGGCTCAAAAGTAATTGGACAAACTAAGATAATTATGAAAATAATCATTAGTTATAATACTAAATAAGGAAAATCCTTTGCAGTCAATGACTGCCTGAAGTCTATCACCCATAAACATCACCAAACACTGAGTTTCCTCCCTGGAGATGCTATGACAGACCTTTTACTGTAACCTCCTTCAGCTGCTGCTGTTTGTGGGTCTTTCTGCCTCCAGTTTTATCTTAAGTGAGTGAAAAGCTGCTCACTTGGGTTGAGATCAGGTGACTGACTTGGCCATTGAAGAATATTCCATTCCTTTGCCATAAGAAGCTCTTGGGTTGTTTTTACAGTATGTTTTAGGTCGTTATCCATCTGCACTGTGAGGCGCCGTCCAATCAGTTTTGTAGCATTAGGCTGAATCTGAGCAGATGGTTTAAACACCTCGGAACTCATCCTGCTGCTTCTATCAGCTGTGACATCACCAATGAACACCAGTGACCCAGTTCCACTGGCAGCCAGACATGCCCATCCAAAGCACTGCCTCCACCATGTTAGACAGATGATGTGGTTTGTTTGGATCATGAGCCGTTCCTTTCCTTCTCCACACTTTTCTCCTCCATCATTCTGGTACAATTTCATCTTGGTTTCATCTGTCCAAAGAATCTTGTTCCCAAACTGGTCAGTCTTTGTAAGATGTTTTCTGTTAAAGTCTAATCAGGTCTTCCTGTTTTTCAGTGTAACCAGTGGTTTGCACCTTGTTGTAAACCCTCTGTATTTAGATTCATGAAGGTTACTTGATTGCAGTGGTGGGCCGTCAGGGCCTGCAAGGCCTTCTCTGCTGGCCCTGACAGAAACACAAAGTTATAGCTATTTTATAATTTAATCATTGTTCTTAAATACACTACATGTATTATAATTTATACAAATATTTTCCCCATTATCTTATCTTCTCATTGCACAGCTCCTGTCTTCCTCAGTTGCTCTGCTTCCAGTGCAGCTTGTTTTAAGTAGAGCTTTTATCCAATCAGATTTCACCTCTGTGTCTCTAAAACACACGGATGTACTGAACAACCGTGAGATTAAACTCTTTATCAACAAAGAAAGGAGGATGCACTTTGTCTTTAAATAGTGAACAGCAGCTCTGGTAAGTTAAATGCGTTTCTTTTTACATCTGCAGTAGCTTTAATATGCTCGTTTATATATTATTATTTGTACAACTTGTTTTTATGAAGATGGATTTTTGTTTGGTTTTATATGTGATAGGAACTATTGTTACGTCCTATGTTGCTCTGGGGACATATTTAGCCGGTGCCAGAGTTGCCAACTTGGCGACTCTCTCACTAAATCTGGATACTTTCCAAACCCTCATGGAGACTTTTTTTGTCAAAAGCTACTAGTGACAAATCGATTGACTTGTTCTGGTGTTGGAAACTTTTCTGGTGTTGTGACTCTGACGTGAAAGCACGTACGTTCTGCACTGTGGTGAACGAGCAGCGGTGCTGCCGTGAGCCGCCACAAAGCACTCACAGGCGGCTACTCTCTCACGCAGCAGTCCCAGCTGCAGTCAGAGAAGAGAGGAGACGCACTCTCGGCGTATTCATGTATCTGCACTCTGCAGTTAGTGTATTTGTAGGTGTTGAGCTTCATTTCTACACGAAACAAATAATAACCGTAGCTGTGGCGTCATAATGAGATGGTTCAGCAGTGAAGGCCCAGGTATAAAATGCACGGCCCGCCACTGCTTGCTTGACTTTAACAATGATGCGCCTACCTCCTCCAGTGTTCTTGACTTCAGTAGATGTTATGAAGGGTTTTTCTTCACCAAGGTAAGAATTCTGCGATCATCCACTTCCGTGGTCTTCTGGGCTTTTTGGTGTTGGTGAGCTTGCCAGTGAATTCCTTCTTTTTAAGAATGTACCAAACAGTTTATTTGGTCAATCCTAATGTTTCTGCTATCTGACTGATAGGTTTGTTTAGTGTTTATAACCTAATAATGGCCTTCTTCACTTGCATCGACACCTTTTTGGTCCGCATTTGGAAGCTGAGAGGACCAGCTACCAAATACTAATTTAACATTTTGAATCCTATTATCGGCATCATCCATCCATCCATTTTCCTCCGCTTATCCGGGGTCGGGTCGTGGTGGCAACAGGCCAAGCAGGCTGACCCAGACTTCCCTCTCACCGGCAACATGTTCCAGCTCATTCTGGGGGATCCCGAGGCGTTCCCAGGCCAGCTGGGAGATGTAATCCCTCCAGCGTGTTCTGGGTCTTCCCCGGGGTCTCTTCCCAGTTGGACGTGCCTGGAAAACCTCCAGTGGGAGGCGTCCAGGAGGCATCCTAATTAGATGCACGAACCACCTCAGCTGACTCCTTTCGACGCGAAGGAGTAGTGGCTCGACTCCAAGCTCCCTCCTGATGACCGAGCTCCTTACCCTATCTCTAAGGCTGAGCACGGCCACCCTACGGAGGAAGCTCATTTCGGCCGCTTGTAACCGCGACCTTGTCCTTTCGGTCACGACCCAGAGTTCGTGACCATAGGTGAGGGTAGGAACGTAGACCGAGTGGTAAATTGAGAGCTTTGCCTTCCGGCTCAGCTCCCTCTTCACCAAGACGGTCCGGTGCAGCGCCTGCTTTACTGCTGCAGCTGCACCGATCCGTCTGTCGATCTCCCGCTCCATCTTACCCTCACTCGTGAACAAGACCCCAAGATACTTGAACTCCTTCGCTTGAGGTAGGCACTCCGTCCCCACCTGGAGGGAGCAATCCACCGGTTTCCAGCAGAGCACCATGGCCTCAGATTTGGAGGTGCTAACTCTCATTCCCGCCGCTTCACACTCGGCTGCAAACCGCCCCAGTGAATGCTGGAGGTCACGATCCAAGTAGGCTAACAGGACCACATCATCTGCAAACAGCAGAGAGGCGATCCCGAGGCCCCCGAACCTGACGTTCTCCACCCCCAGGCTGCGCCTAGATATCCTGTCCATGAAAGTCACGAACAGGACCGGAGACAAAGTGCAGCCCTGGCGGAGGCCAACACCCACCGGGAACGTGTCTGACTTATTGCCGAGAATGCGGACACAGCTCCTACTGCAGTCGTACAGAGACCGGATCGCCCGTTGTAATGGGTCCGGCACCCCATACTCCCGCAGCACCCCCCACAAGAACCCACGAGGGACCCGGTCGAAAGCCTTCTCCAAGTCCACAAAGCACATGTAGACTGGTTGGGCAAACTCCCAGAACCCCTCCAGTAGTCTTGCGAGGGTAAAGAGCTGGTCCACTGTTCCACGGCCGGGACGGAATCCGCATTGCTCCTCTTGTATCTGAGGTTCGACAAACAGACCTTCCCCGGGAGGCTGAGTAGTGTGATACCCCGGTAATTCGAGCACACTCTCTGGTCCGCCTTTTTGAAAATGGGAACCACCACCCTGGTCTGCCAGTCCATGGGCACTGATCCCGACCCCCATGCGACATTGAAGAGGAGTGTCAGCCAGGACAGCCCAACTATGTCCAGCGCTTTCAGCATCTCAGGGCGGATCTCATCCACCCCCGGCGCCTTGCCACCAAGGAGCTTTTTGACTACCTCAGCGGCCTCTGCCAGGGACATGGGTGAGCCTCCCCCTAGATCTTCAGGCGCTGCCTCCTCTGCAGAGGACATGTTGGTCGGGTTTAGGAGTTCCTCAAAGTGCTCTTTCCACCGCCCGACGATGTCCCCTGTCCGGGTTAGCAGTTCCCCCCCCTGCTGAGAACAGCCTGGGGTAAGCCCTGCTTTCCCTTCCTGAGCCGTCGGATGGTTTGCCAGAACCTCCTTGAGGCCAACCGAAAGTCCTTCTCCATGGCCTCCCCGAACTCCTCCCATGCCCGGGTTTTAGCATTCGCGACCACCGCAGCTGCAGCCCTTCTGGCCTGCCGGTACCTGTCAGCTGCTTCGGGAGACCCCTGGGCCAACCAGGCATTGAAGGTCTCCTTCTTCAGCTTGACGGCTTCCCTCACCTCCGGTGTCCACCACCGGGTTCTCGGGTTGCCGCCACAACAGGCACCGATGACCTTC